ACTATTACAGACGCATTGTGAGTTGTATGTAGCTATTTTACATGTTGAATACTCTTCATATCCGAATTGCAGCTAGATTTTATCACATTTTCACGATAAACCCTTTGTAGAGTACGATGCAATGCATATGCTGAGACTTGCTTGGAACGAGCCATTCACTGTTGAAAAATATATTCTTAACAAAATCACGCGTTCTGCAGAAATCCGGGGGATGACAAGAAAATAAATGGTTCCAGTCGTACAAAGTAATGGATACAGATGATTGAATTTTGAGCGGTGGATATACAGTTAACCGAATGCACTATGGTGGATCGATACTGTTGCTACTGAAACAGTAGAACCTTACTGTCATGGTTTTGTTTTTGCTGGTTGGTGATTGCATGATTTGCATCTTCATCTTTGTTCTCTATGTCTCTACTTGTGGAGGGTCTAGCAGTGTTGAGTATCCCTTTGAACCATGTCCCTTGCAATCTCAAGTTCCCATTCTCTGGTTTGTTGAGACTTCCTGGCCGTTGTGGAGAGCCATTAGCACTGTTGGTTACATTCGAGGTAACATTCGAAAGAAAGCGATAAGCCACTTTACTAGCTGACACTAGTTCAGTTTTGGCTTGCTTTATCTGCAAAATCCCAATTCATAAGATTTAAACACCCATAATGTTGCATTCAAGTATTATGAAGAAGCAGCATGAACAAAGCGAAACGAAAGTAAACCCACACGCATTGCTGTGTTTCCAGCCACTTCCAAGGCCGTGTCGCCAGCATGGGCAAAGCGATTCACCCAACCTGTTAACAGACAGAACCCAAGCAGTCACATAAAGCGTGAAAACCAAAACACAAAAACACACACTGGCCCCAAAAATAATGGCATTACCTGGGATCTTTGGAACACCAAGCCGGTCACAGAGTACATCACAGAAGTGATTGCAATTTTTCGCCAACAAATCATATGTGTGTCCTGACCATTCCCTGCTGAGCTCACGCAATATCTGATTGACCATGAAGATTGTGCAATCTGTCTTTCCAAGAACGATTTTCTCACGATATGTGTACATTGGATTCTTCCCACTAGGACAGCTGAACACACCAGTTCCTTGTTCGCAATACCCATAAGACCATTCATCGTCCCCATATATCTAAACAAACAAGTTCATAAGAGAAGCCAGTCAATTACTCTTACCTGCGAATTAATATTCATGTAAAAGGCACGAGCAAATAGCAAAACCATGAACAAGGATAATCAAAATGATGCATACATGTACGTCTAAGACACAGAATCATTAACAGTTACATGGAAACCTAAAGTTAAGTGCTGGTAGTTTCATTGATTTAACACTGGCTTATAAAACTAACTGGTGCCTAATTTATAAGTTCACCAAATTGTCATGTCTCAAATTGGAGATTGGTCTTTGCAACGATCAATTAAGGAAACGTGAGCCATCATTGATTACGACAATTCTCCAGAGAGCCATTCACAAAACTACTGCACCCATTATCCCATGAAAAGTTTCCAGAAAATTACTAGGAAACATGAGATCCTGAGGGTACTTAAGTTGCAGACCTCAGAGACACCTCCTGAAGGACCATAATCAATAAAACTACAACCTCATCGATCAAAATCAAAAGTATCCCAGAAAATCAAATTCTCCATTTCCACATACATACACAACAACGACAAAGCAAATCCACGAATCAAAGAAGACGTGATCGAAATCGGACCAGAGACGAAGATCAAGTACCTGAAGAGCGCTGTGGAATATGCCGCCTAGACCGATCCCGTCTTTGAAGAACCTGTTGATCTGAAGAATTGTGTTGTTAGTCTTCTCCGATCCACTGTTCGTGACATCATATATATGCAGAACAACCTCCGCCATGATTCGCTCTCGCTACTAACAATACCCAAACCCTAATTTCCAACCAAAAAGAGCTTCGGTGAAGAAGAAGGAAACCCTAAATACTCGTCGTACCAAATCCACTTTCCTTCAACAAATCCAACTACTACTAGATCTCGACTGTAAAGAAGAAACTCTTTCTTTGTACAGAAGAAATTAATCTTTCCCTGATTTTTATTTTTTTTTCAATCTCAGATGTGGGAGATGAAGAAGAAAACTGATGCGGTGGTGGTGGGGATCCACTTGAAATGACTCTTTTGCCCTCGATTTTCCTAGCTTCTTTTCTTTACTTGTGGTTCGAGCAAGCGACGTCGTTTTCTACACGCAGCCTGTCAACCGACACTTTCTCCTCCAATTAACCGGTTCAGTTTACCGAACCAATTCTACTTCTTACATTATAAGTTGTCATGTCGGCTCAGATGGGTGGCGTACAAAATAGCAAGTTAGTACAAGATTTTGAGGGCTACAGACAAAATAACTAAATTTTATTATATAAAAATGAATGTGTACCATAAGAATATGATACATAGATAAAATTATAATTCACCTTTAATTTACCTTGTGACATGTGTCTATTTTAATTAAGATGTTGACACATATCAATATACTTATAGGTAAATTTAAACTAATAAAATATATATTAATTAATGAAAAATTAAATCAAACCAATTAATGTAAAAACAAAAATCTGTTTCGTAGATAAAAAAGGAAACAAATTTTTGTTTTTACAATTTTATAATGTTTATATAAAATGGAAATTTCTAAATTTTAAACTTCACTTTTATATTATTGATGAACAAATTTCATTTACCACATTACTTTAATATCCAAACGAATGAAAATTTCCATTTTTTTAAAATCACTTTTTATCTGATTTACGAAAATATGTAATACATCGTCTTTTTATTATATAAAGTTATAAAACCGCGTGTTTATAATTTGGATAATTTACAAAATCGACATATGCATATATGATGGAATACTTATATGTAGATATGTACTTAAATATTTGAATAGTATTAATAAAATAAAATAAATTAGAACTTGTCATTATATAACAAGTAGAATACTGTCAACAAAAAGAAACAATACAACTAAATTAACAAAAACTGCAAAAGTTTACACGTTTTTCCCCTATTAATATGGTGTTTAGATCCCTATATATATGTTTAGGAGAGTTTGGAGAGGAGTTGGATCTACGCAGTTAAATTTGTCAAGCGTGTTTGAAGATTATAAATTTCTATGTCGCGAACACATTTCGAACAAAGACCGAGAATGATAATTTTTTATTGTTGTTTCTGTTAAACTTTGATTACAAGAGAGTTTTCTCCGAGAATAATTGTGAACCTTTTTGGGAGAATACTTAAAGCTATATATAGCTTTAAGTAAATGAGCCAACTAATAAAATGGGTTTGACCATTTAAGTAATATATCTAATTTAGGCCCATTATTTCATTAAACCTATTTTGATTATGGGTTTAATGTCATTTTAGGCCTAGATTCAAACTGGGTCCTTGTAACTTTGATCCGATTTCGTCAGGACGGTGCAAAGTTGATCTTGTCGCTATATCGATCTCATAGGGGTAAAATCCGATCCCTACAGTTAGCCCCCCAGCTTGGCAGTATCGAGTTACGGTGATGCCAAGGTAAAGTTTCTGAAGTCTGAGATCGATATGTTGGACTGTGAAGTTGCCAAGCGTGGACGACTTATCACCAAACTCGGGAAGTTTCCGTTATTCCATGTTGAGCCGATGTCAGCGTGTTATCCTGGACTTGTTTTCTTTTTCTTTTACTTAGAAAACTGAGGCCTAGATGTCTTGTCAACGAACTCGGAAAGTTTCTGTTATTCCGCATTGAGCCGATGTCGGCATGTTTTTCTGGGCTTGTAATCTTTTTTTTTTTCTTGGAGGATTGATAGAGTTGATGGTCTTGATGCGTTAGAGGGCCTTGCTGGAAAA